GATCACCTCCTAAAACCCTACAATTGGTTTGCAAATAGGATTGAGTTTGTTTTTTTTAAAAAAATTGGAATAACTTATCCTGTGATGAGTTATTTTGAAAATGATATTTTACTTATTTTATGACGAAAGCCTTATATTGGATGAATTGTTCCCTATGAAAAAAAAATAATTCTGCCTATGCAGAATAAATCTACTATTATTAAAATGTGAAAAATCTATTATATTTTTTACTTTTTTTTTTAATTCTAATTTTATCCTCTCAAATTTATTATATATTTTAAAAGTCATGAAGAGTCTTATATAAACAAATTATATCTTTATTTTTTGAGTTGAACATTCAAAAATGATATATCTACTTTCAACCATTCTATATAAATGTAAACAAACTGTCTCCCTTCTTATCACTAAAAAAAAAAATTTATCTTTTTATTTTTTACATTGATGATGATTAAAGAACAAAAAATAATTATCATTTCTTATTTGATGTGCCTGCTTCTATACTGATATACATAATATTTACAATTGTCCATCATAGATCAAATCATTGTGAATAATTTTGGTTAAACTTTAAAAATTTAAAATATTTACAAAAAAGAAGCTACAGATTAATAATAATAAATAAACAAAACCTAAACTTTTAAAATTGCAAAAAAAAATTTGTTAGCATTTTCCAAAACGCAACAGTTTTTTAGCAACTTTGTCTTAAAAAATCTCTCTCCACACACACCACACACACACACACACACACACACACACACACACACACACACACACCACACACACACACACAAAGTTACTATAAAATTAACCAAAATATAATAAGAATGAATTGGTGTCTTAAACTTGTGATATATGTAGGGGTGAGCATGGTCCGGATTGGACCGGATTGTGGTAAACCAGGACCAATCCGTTATCTACGTTTCTAAAAAATTGGAACCAATCCAATCCGTTTAAATCATGGAACCAATCCGAACCAATCCATTTAAATACGGATTGGATCGGTTTAGGACCACGGATTCACATAATTAAATAACAAAAATATATATATAACACTTTAATTTCATAAAAATATAAACATAGCGCTATATTAGTTCCACAATAGCAACATGTTTTTTATAATAGCGACATACTGTTTAGAATTAAATAACCATAAGAAAACTGGTTTCACATAAGTAATTTAGACCATTACAAATTAAAACTAAAAACTAACAAACAAAAGTAATAAAGAAGATAATTATACGGTTTTAGGTTTGAGTTTAGATTTTATATAGAATAAGAGAAGATACTATGGGGGAGGATGTATAATAAAAATGTAGACTATTTGTATACGGTCTGGATCGTGGGGTTCAATCCGGAACCAATCCGTGGACTACGGATTTTTAATTCTTCAATCCGGAACCGAACCGCGGATTCAAAAAATCAATCCAAACCTATCGGATTGGACTGGACTGGATCGGATTACGGATTTCACGGATTCCTTGCTCAGCCCTAATAATATGGGAATTATTGTAAAGCCAATCACATTTCAATCCCATTAAATATATGGGACAGTTACGTGTAAATGTTATTAGGTAGACTAATTATTCAATAGGTTTTGTGAAAATTAATGGTATTTTTTATCAAATATTATTAAAAAATGTCAATAATTGTTAATTTTTAGCGATAGTTTAAAAATTTTGTCACAAAAAATGTCATTAATTATAAGTTTTAGTGACAGTTTAAAAAAGATTGTCACAAAAAATATTACTAATTTTCAACTTTCAGTGACAATTTTAAAATTTTGTCACAGAAAAAAGTCACTAATTGTAAGTTTTAGTGACAATTTATAAAAATCGTGACAAAAAAATATTAATTGTCAATTTTTAGTGACATATATAAAAAATCGTCACAAAAAAAATATTTTTAACTATAATTTTATTAAGACTTATTTTCAATAGGATTTGATGAGAATTAAATCAAAGTATTAAGACTTATATATATATATACAAGAAACGAAAAGAGAGAAATGCAAAAGAAAAGGTATATGTATTATTATATAAAATCAATATCCAAGTTAGTGTGGTTGTTAATTAATTAATTTTTTTAAATACTTTTAAAAGCAGTTAGCATTATGTAATTGTACACCAACAAACTTACGAATCCAGTAACTACATATTTTTCAAGCTTTTTTAATTTTTTTTGGTGGCTAAAATAACATTAAAAGACAAAATAAACTAAAATAATTAATAAGATAAAATCTCACATCAAACCCATTATCATTTCACTTTTTTTCTCACAAACATTACATCCAATAATAAAAAAATCTAGTTATCTTTCCAAATATAAAAATTTTAACCTCCTAAAATAATCAAAAATTAAAATAACTTACTAAAATAACAACTCAAACACCCACATAACAACTACATATTTTTCTAATATATATATATATATATATATTGTGGACTGTTGTGCTTTTTGAATAATGGTCCAGGCCCCAATTAAAGAAGGAGCTTAAAAAATAGTGAAAGAGAAAAAGATGTATGGTTAATTAAGTGGGAGGGAGGAATGGTGGACCATTCACCTCCACAACTATGCAATAAATTCTTAGAAATATCACTTCTTCTAGAAGTGCTTAAAACACTTGCCCAATTGGCTTCCCACATTATTTTAACCATTTCGAAAACAAAAAACAATAATAATAAATAAATAAATAAATAAAAACAACCTCTAGAAATTCATTTTCATCCAAGAAGCACATTACATGATGAAATAAAGGACTAACCAAAAAAGGCAAAAAGGAATGAGCCTCATAATGCCTGCACAGTTATCAACATTTTAATGATTTTATCTAAAGTTCTTTACATATCATCCTCAATTTATTTACTTACAATAACCTTAATATTTACTTAGGCCCCGTTTGGGAACAGACTTTTTTAGTAATTTTTTGACTTTTTAACTAGAATGTGATGTAAAAAAAAACTAGTATGTTTGGGATGATTTTTTGATTTTTTACGAGAAAAAATGTGCAAAAAGTAAAGAGAAAAGGGAATCTTTGACTTTTTAGTATGAGTTGTTGGCTTTTCGATTTTTTTAGTAGCTTTTTGACTTTTTAGCTAAAAAAGACCATTACCAAACGAGGCCATAATAAAAATTAAGATACAAGAATTCCATATAGGTCTGAGACTTATAAAAATAAAAAATAAAAAAATGAGACACACCTACTCTATAAAAGTTGTATCAATTTTTGTATTCTTACACTTTCTGTGTTGAATACATCAATCAGTTTCAAACCTAGCAGTGATATGTATATCACTATGACATTGAGAAAGAGAGATTACTTACCTGTTAAGGGAAAAAAACAAAAAAATATAGAGATATTACTTAAAATCTAGTTTTGACTGCATAAAGATGTGAGAAATTATAATTCACTAGTATCTTTTCAAAATAATTATAAATTCATAAAAAAAATCTAACACATCAATTATTAAAATTTATAAAATTTACCACTAATTTATTTATTTTTTTAAATTGACGTTGAATTATTATTTTACCACATTAAGTCTTTACAATCCAAACTCGAACAAGCTTTCCTAAACAAGTTTATTGCGGTTTGTAATCCCAAAAGTTTTGTTGACGGGACAGTCGAATTTAAATTGCAAGTTCACTCCAAATAATTCGATTTTTCATAGATGGAGTGATCAATGTAACAATTTTGACTCTATGTTTGACACTGCCATATCATTACATAAGTATCCAAATAAAACATATTCATATTTAAAAATGAAAAATAAAAACTAATTTGTATATGATTTTTATATAAATAATTTTTATTTTTTTATATGATTCTCTCTCTCTCTCTTTGTGTGCCAAGAATAATTTTTGAAATTTTGGAAATAATTTTTGACTTTTATTTTGGTCAAGATAGTTTCTATTTTAAAAAAAAAAAAAAACTTTTTTTTTTTGGTTGAAAACTCAACCAAATAGGCAGACTAACATATAAAAATCTACATATTAAACTGTTCCCTCTCTCATATAAAAAGTGATGAAGTAATTAATTTAATTAGTGTGTAGGTTTTTAAATGTATGTAATATTAAGAAATAAGATATAAAAATAATTTTATTTTTTTGTATATCCCTTAATTATAAGAATTCGCATTAATATATCACTGCAGGAAATTTGAGTTTTAGTGGAGTTTTTAAAACGTCGCTAAAAGCCCGAAAAACACCCATAAAAGTTAAACCAATGTTTAATATTTCCGTCACTAATACGGCCGCCGCAATAGCTTTACAATGCTTGCAAAATGATGCTAAAATTAATAGACGACGTTTTTTAAAACGCCGCAAAATCTTTGACGTCCGCTTCAATTTCCATCACAAATTGACGTGTGACGTCATAATAACGTCATTTAGTGGCATTTTCCCAAAAAACGCCATTTTTTTTTTGTTTGCTTTGGATATCCTGATTCTAAAATATTGCCTAACCTAATTAATTTTTTCGCTCCTTTCCTGATTCTGAAATATAGCATAGCATCAAGGTAATCACAATTTTTTAATATCTAATATATTGTAATCAACACATTATACGGAGATGGGAAAAGTGCATAAAAGTACTCAACTCGTCCATGAACCAAATTAATTGCACATTTCATGAGATTTTTACTACACAAAATATGTGTACTCCTCAGTCCACGTTCTTGTTGGCGTCAAACTTCTCGTGGAACTTAGATGCCTGAAACAATCAACCATTATCGACTAGATTAGACATTAAATATATCATGTAACGCCCTCAAAATAATACATAAAATCCATCACTTTAAACATGCATTGATATAAAAGAAACCAATCATTTCTATTCATCAGAGTACCTTTTCACACTGTATTACATGTTAACAACAAAAGTAAATGCCCTATGGGCTTACAGCTTTCCAAGTCAACACCTGGTTATATAAAAGAAGAGTACTAACTCTATACAAAATAAGCCCTTGGCTTGATATACATGTAATACAAACAAAATAAACAAAAAGAGTCTTCAACTCTCATCATCATCCAAGCTATGTCCTTGGAGGTGGCATACTACCTGTACCTGAAAATAATGTCCCATAAAGGGTGAGCCAACGCCCAGTAGAGATATGCTAAACACAGTATGAGCAATGACTAAGACATTAGCAAATGATAAATGTTCATGTTTTATTTCAATTTCCATTTCTTATCCATTTTCATGACCACCATGCTCATGTTTCATTTCAATTTCCATTTCTTATCAATTTCACAATTTACATCAATGGCTTAGAACCTGACCAACCACTTATATGAGACAATGACTCATATTAAACACTTCCTATTTTACAATAGATAAACATACTAGTTGTATCAACACCTCACAGATAAGCATACAAGCTGTATCCACATTTCAACAGATATGCATATTAGCTATATCAACACTTCCAATGATAAGCATACGAGCTGTATCAACGCTTCCAAAGATAAGAATATGAGCTATATCAACACATTATCTGACAAGCATATGAGCTGTATCAGTGGAGTCCATCCCCTATCTCCTCCTAAACAACATCCGGTTTAGAGGTCCATCCCCTATCTTCCCTTAAACCGTGGAGTACATCCCCTATCTCCTCCCACACACACACAACGTATATACACAAAGGTCATATACACAATCAATCAATACATAACGTTAATGTATTTTATCAACCGTCATACTCTATGACACATCCAATTGATTAGTTTTAGTTTGCCTAATCATCATGCATTGTCTACAACAATCAAAACTACCCTCCACCGGTAGCCCAAGCAATTGTTTCTAAACAGATAATAAAAGCTCCAACAGATAAAATATCAATGCTTTCAAAAGTGAGCGATTAACAAATCTAACTCCACTATTCAACCATATAATGAGACAATTTCATTATTTCCAACTCAATTCCATATAACCACCATTTTCTCAAATTAATCATATCAATTAATTTATACAACCAATTAGGGTTTTCTACCCCATTTCCCAATATTGACCCAATGGTCTATATTTCAACAACCAACATCAATAATACCCTTTTGAACCCAAAATACATATTATGAGCCCAAAATCACAAAACCCTCTTTAACACATTTTGAAACCCTAAGTCCCAAAATCAACTATTTAAACAATAAGCTCAAAATCTAGGCTAAAACTCATAAGAGTGAGTAGGAATCCCTACCTCAAAAGTTGACACCCAACGAAGAAGATGATAAAAACGAAGTTGCTTCAAATCACAAGTTTCTCGGATCAAAAGATAGCCCTCGACGATCAACAACTTTTTTGTAAAGGCCAAAGGTGAGAAAACAACTCCAACTAGATCAATACCTAGAGAGAATGCAAGGTTCTAGAGAGAGAAGCTCTCAAATGGCGTTTTGGAAAAGTAAGAGAGAGAGTGTAAATGTAAAAAGTGATTTTAAAATGCCCAACTGTCAACTAATATACGACATTCCCGCTCGAGCGGAGAACACAACGCTCGAGCATCAAGAACAAAAAAAAACTAGGTCCGCTCGAGCGCAATAAGACCCGCTCGAGCGCCAAGACACAAGAATAAAGTACATCCGCTCGAACGCGAAAACCAGTCCGCTCGAGCGTAGATTTCCCCCTCCCAGAACTTACACCCAAAGGTACTACCCGCTCGAGCGCCAATCGCTCGAGCGTAAAGAAACCCGCTCGAGCGTAAAAATCACACCTGCAGAAGTTTTGTAGGGACAAGAAAAACTGGGAGCGTGCAATCGCCGCTCGAGCGCAATAAGACCCGCTCGAGCGGACCTCCTAAAAACTGGGCAACAAAGAATTGAAACCAAAGCCTAACCAACCTGTAACAACTCTGCCCAATACATCCTAAAACTCAGTCAAGTGGAATTAAAGGATGACAACAAGGTGTACCACTACCAACATCACGGAACCGAGTCCGAAATACAACAAAACAGTAAAGGGACAACCGGGATCGCTATGTATCAAAAAAAGCACTGACTAGAATGCTATAACACACTAAAAGATTTGTGTCAAAGTAGTGATTTAGGAATGAGAAACTATATCTATATTACCAAGAAATGGAGAACACATCCCAATGCAATATCAGTTCTTCAATATTCAATCAATGCCCAAATTTGACAGTTCCTCCAAAGAAATATGTAGGCAAACCAAACCAAACCAATAAATTCCAATAAGAAAACAAATATAAACTAAGAATAAAATCCTAAACAAATTCAACGTCATTAATAAATTCAAATTCATAAATAAACTAAAATTCTAATCTTTCATTTTTTTCAACCGACTTCTTTTTATTCTCCATCAGTAGTGAACCATCAATATTGCTTAGTTATATTGACTACCATGCTAAGGAAACAAATGATGTTGAAATGAGACATTTATGGAAGTATAAAAAGCATACCTCCAACCTTTTCCATTGCATTAGTTGATTCCTATGATTATTGACTTCCTCTTTTGCAGACTTAAAAGAGTATCATCTTGAAGCAACCTTTTAACCCCAACAACTTCTTCAATAGGGGACACTGTAGGAATCTGTGAAAAATCATGAGGTTGAAAATTTAGAGCTAGAATAATCAGTAGAAGATAAGATTAGGAGTAGTTCTGACCTTGAATTTAGTAGACTTCAGTGGCCTTCTTTAATTGAATTTGTCTTATCTATTTCTTCTTCTTCTTCTTCTTCTTCTTCTTCTTTCCTTTCTTTGATATGTGAACCCACATTTGACAAAAACAAACAACATGAATAAAATGTCATAGTGAAAATTTCATAATTAACTATTTACTCACTTCCTCGAACGAATGATGGCAATTAAACGATGAGGTATATGCATGGGATTGTTGTTGGAATGCACTTGTGTAGCAATTGGTGCAACAGGCCCACCCATGGCCTGTTGAGACTCTAACTGCTCTATTCGTGCTTATTAAGCTTGGATTGTGCTTTGCATCTCCATTTGTACTTTCTGTTGGTTAAACACTGCATCCTTCATCTCCTTCATTTGTATCTCCATTTGTGCTTCATATTGGTTAAGTTGCTCTTGGACTTGCCTTTGAATGAAACGAGTTTGTTCTTGTGATTGCCTATATCCACCTCCAAAGACATCTGTCGGAGAAGGACCCAATCTAAATGTTCAAACACGACCAGGTCACTCAGGCCCTAGAACCTGTGTGATAATCTATTCATCTATAGCATTGGATTGCGCCTCAAGCTCCTTCATTTGTGTCTGCAATTGTTAATTAGTTAATATAGCTACCAATAATTGCGCGCGCGCGTGTGTGTGAGAGGGAGAGAGAGAGAGAAAGAAAGAGAGAGAGAGAAGCAACCATGCCACATACCATCAATACTTGGTTTGTTATCCTTTGAGTACCCAGCCATCCACACCTCTAAGCGAGTTGCAGAAACTCCATTCTTCTTGTTTGTTTCCTATAATTACAATTAAAATTAAGTAACAAAATCAAAATATGCAATTTTAATTTGAAATATAAAGAAACTATATACCTTTACTCAAATAACTGAGAATGATTTTCTATCAATTATGTGATTTAATGTCTTTTTCTTTCGAATTTTGTTTTTTGTACCTTTTTTTTCCCTATTACATATGAACATAAACACAAGATAATTTATTAATTAACAAACTCATCTTATGAGATTACAATAGAGTTCAATAAACATTTCAAGACCAGAGTGATCCAACTAAGACTTTTGTTCCACAATCTCTATATATCTATATACATATATGTAACATAGCTAATAAGGAAATTAAATAAATTTAGAAACAACAACTGCCACCAATTAAATTAGCAACATTAAATGAAACATGTGCCTTCCGAGTGCCAAAATAATAGACTAAGCTTTGCCATTGATGCTCATGTACTCTTCCGGGTTGATGAGTTAACCTATCAACATCATTGTCGAATGGCATATATTTCTTTTTTTTTTAACTCCGGCATTCCATTCTCTCCATTTTTTTTTTCTAACAGATGCCAAAACAAAATTTTTCATTGACTCGTCTGCATTGTATTAACCTACAAATAATTGGCAACTTTAATTATTAAATGCCCAGGTAGAATGTAAACTCCCAGTGAACAAACCAGAATTCAAATAACAAATAACAATCTAAACAAAAAACCTATTTTATTATAGATAGTTGTTCCACATAAAGAAACCACCTCAATGAAAAATTAGTCTACACCATCAAGATGAAAAATCACTCTACACCATCAAGATGAAAATTGATACATTTGAGAAAAGGGAATTAATTTGGCATTTGTGAGGAAAGGAATAGAGGAGGGGACATGCTTACGCCTAGCATGAATTGTTTAGGAAAATCATGATTTGGACATGTCGAGAAGGGGATTGTGTTCATTTCAAGTCCCATGTATTTGGTAAGTTTTCCTAACTTTCATTCCATAATTTGACATGCCACAACCATTCTTCCTACCAATTGTATGCTTGTTCTTCACAATTCCTTGGCTTTCCTCTCTAATCAAAATTGTATATTTCGGTAACATTCAAATCATATACAAATCTTCAACAAACAATTCTTGTATTTCTTGCTAACTAAAAAAGATATCCAATAAAAAGATAACATAACAACATACATTTCCAATTTCGCCAACATGAATCATTCCCAATATCTTCCTGATTTGAAAATTACTATTATTATGGAATATGATTGGCTTAATAGAAACAATGGGAAGTTGACTAAAATAATTCATACCAGTTGTAGTGTCATGTGTTAAACCAGTACTTGATGATGTACTAGGCAAGCTACCTGGAGGATACCAGGACATGGGTGGATCAGGTATGATGTGGGTACTCTTCTTTGAACGATCATCTAAATTCCCACTATAAGAACTCTCAGAGCTCGAATGTCCTTCACTAGAACTTTTAGAGGCTGAGTGTTGCCTTCGCCTAGAGCATCGTCTATCTGCCATGCTATTTTATAGAAGACCGCATGCATAAGTGTAGAATTTTATGGGTTAGCAATGAATATAAAGTACAATAAATACAAATAGAAATACAAAAGCCAAATGTTATACCTCCTAGGCTTAATTATTTTCAAAAATGGAAACTACATGGGCTTAATTACTAAGTTGAAACTGCTACATAACAACAATGATTCAATTAAGCACTGCTATACATCCAAATGATGCAATCATTTTTAACTAAATATAACTAATGCAGAGACCATATATATGCAAATATAACAACATGGATTCTTAAATCAAAACATGCTAAAACATTTTTAAGAAGTTCAGCAGAAAGATTTCTATCAGAGATTGCTAAAACATGCACAAACACACACACACATACACACACACACACACACGCACACGCACACATAAAAATTGACAAACCAAAACAATGAACATAAATATCAGAGGAAGCACATATACATATATATATATCCCAAATATATTTGAAAAAATCAGAGATCTGAGTTCATAGAAAACAAATGTACACACACACACACAAAAAAAAAGAAGAGAAGCAATCAATTGAGATGTAAGATATCAGTTCAACTGTGTACACTCTTCAAAAAAAATAAATAAATAACAAATAAGCTAAATGAATTGAAACTTACAAAATCAAAAGAGATGAGAACCAAAATTGGAAGAGAAGCACAAATCTGGAGAACCAAACTTCAAAATCTATAATCAAGCAAAAGAGAAAATCATCGACAGATCTAAAATTGAGCGAGAGAGACTGCTTGAAATCGAGCGAGAGAGACTGTGTGTTTGAAATTGAGCAAAAGAGAGTGAGTTTGTTTGAGAATGAAAATGAAAGTGACAATGAGAGTTAGAGCTAGAGCTTCAAATCGAGGGTTTTGGCAGAGAGAGAGAGAGACCAAGTTATGGAAGAGACAGAGAAAGTGAGAGACATTTTGAAAGAGACAGGGTTTTGGACGGTGTCAATAAATTGACCCAATACGACGCCGTTGATTTGAGATAAGAGACAACGTTTTCAAAACGTTGTGTTTAATTAACCTATAATGGCATTTGCATAAATTCCATAAACAAAAGTTGCAATATACCGTTTTTCTTGTAGTGTATTTTATTGCTATGTAAACTTAGTGGTGTTCATGTAATGATTTAGTTCGATTTTAAGGTAATCAACAACTAAATCAATCCTTATGTTTCTAGAAATTTCAAAAATAAACTGAACCGTAAAACTTTTGAAATCGGACAAAACCAAATCACAAAAAATGATTTAAGCTGCTCAGATTACTTTTTTCACTCTTTATTTTTTAACACCCCAATGAGAACTAACATAGTATTTTCTCATTAATGATAATATCATGCTTCAGAGTTTTTATTAACCTAAATATAATTAAGGTAAACTACTAATAGGTCCTATTAGTTAGACTTAATTTCTATCAAGCCCTATTAAAATCGTCCCTAAAAATAAGATTTTGTAACGATTTTTTGCATATGTCGCTAAAAATTGACAATTAGTGACTTTTTTGTCACGGTTTTTATAAATTGTCACTACAACTTACAATTATGATATTTTACTATGACAAAATTTTCAAACTCTCACTAAAAGTTAAAAATTAGTGACTTTTTGGGACGATTTTTTTAAACTGTTGCCAAAACTTATGATTAGTGACCTTTTTTATGACAAAATTTTGAAACTGTCGTTGAAAATTAACAATTAGTGACAATTTTTTAATAGCATTTGATGAAAAACGTTATTAATTATCATATGACTTATTGAATAATAATCCACCTACTAGGACTTACACGTAAATCCCTCAAATAATTAGGCATATTGTATTCATCTCAATAAATAAATAAATAAGTAAGCAATCTACTCATCTCACACCTTCACATGTTTATAAAGAGAGTTGCTATTAGCACTTACCTAATTTTTTTGGATTTCCCAATTCTCACTTTTTTTTTTATATTACAATTATACCCTGAAGTAAAATTACATTAAATGAAAACTTTTAATGGAACACCCACCTATCAAATAAAAACAATTAGAATGATACTCTACAATATTGTATACCCACCTCCATCCCCATATATACGTATTTCTTACCAATCTAAACCCGAATTGTATTCTTTTTCAGTTCCATCCTAAACCTATGTATTCATCTTCAATGAAAAACATTTGAAACCAATAATTAGTTAACGTTTTGTTCGGTGGTTTCAAATGTGTTTGGTGTTCTAAATAAGTTAACGTTGCAAACAATTCTATTATAGACTTTGTGTTTCCACATATGGTCATTTTTACCATTCGTTGATACTTATAAGGCAATGAAGGACAATGACAACAAGTCTGATGAAGTTGTCGTTGCATTGTTAATTTTATCGATCTTACATTAACGGTTCTTCATCATTTTCGATGGTTTCTATTTTGTTTGAGCTTGTTTGGTACTAGTTCGCAGACTATTAAGGTTTTGTTTGGTAACACAGTGCTGAACAAAAACATTTGGTTTGGTATATAGGTTCCGAACAAAACCTTTATTTTTGGCACATTTCAACCGAACATAATTTTTGACGGGATGAAGAGATTTCTGTCAGTCACTAATGTCGACTGAGAGACTTCTAAAGAGTCAAAGAGAAAATGATGAGGGTAGTCTAGAGGCAGCAAGCACAACAACAGCTTCGCCATTTGCGGTGATGGCAGGAAGGGAGGTAAAGACGGTAGACTGGGCGATAATGTTGTAAAGCTAGGCCTTGGTCATCGTAAAAGTGAGAGACAGAGAGAAACACACCAGATTTGGAAGAAAAAGAAGAAAAAGAATGAGAGAGAGAGAGAGAGAGAGAGAGTGTGTGTGTGTGTGTGTGTGTATGTGTGTGTGTGCATGTGCAAAATTATGTGGGTGTGCACTTGGGTGTGATGATATTATGAATAGAGATAAAATTGGTATTAAGTGAAGTATTCAAAGAAATCTTATTAAAATTTAAGATTTAGGGTGAGGGTTCAAAGAAATAGAGGTTTCAAAGAATTAAGGTAGGTGCTAATAGCAGCACTTGTTTTATAAATAAATAAATAATAAAAAATGTGTGTGTGTATGTGTGTGTGCGCGTGTGCAAAATTATGTGGGTGTGCACTTGGGTGTGATGATACTATGAATAGAGATAAAATTGGTATTAAGTGAAGTATTCAAAGAAATCTTATTAAAATTTAAGATTTAGGGTGAGGGTTCAAAGAAATAGAGGTTTCAAAGAATTAAGGTAGGTGCTAATAGCAGCACTTGTTTTATAAATAAATAAATAATAAAAAAGAAACAACAAAATAGGTAACAAGTGTACTTTCTATCATCGGTAACTCATTAATTGTACGATTGAGATGTGAAAGAGTGATTATCTGGTGTGTGTGTTTTTTATCCGGAAGAAAATTTTAATTGCAAACTCAATAAAAGATTGGATGAATTTGGTATAGTAGTATCATAAGATCTTAAAAAGAGAGAAAAATCTTCATAGAAGAAAGGATCCAAGCCTCCATAGAGGAGAAGAAAAGACCCCTACAAAGGAAGGAAACAAACCTCTACACAGGAAGGATTATTACATCAACAAACTAAAAACATAAGAAAATCAAACAGAAAAGAAATTAGATCTTAGTCACCACCAAACTCATTCAAAACTCTGCTACTCTGCAACCTTCAACTTGGAATCTAAAGACTTTATGTCTGCTGGTCAAGATAGAGCATTGACGTTAAAATGGTCGCCTAGCGTCAAATAAAGACGTTATCCAGTGTCAGCCTTCAGACTGTAAGAAGATTTGAAATCAGATATTAAAATTTTAGGCTTGAGTGTGGATAATGTAATACGATGATGGTCGGATTGATGAGACAACTATCAGATCAGATCTGGAGGAGGATTGGAGATAGAGAGAGAAGAGAAAGAGATTAGAGAAGTGAGAGAACCATTGGCGTCTCCCTCTCGAGATTGATGAGCATGTTGTGCTTATATGGCACAACACAGTGTTGTAGCGGCCATTTGGGCCTTCTCTCGAGCCTATGTCGTTGATCCGAACTGTTTATATTGTAAGATTCGTTAAGTAGATCATTTATGAAAAAATTAGATTAATTGAATATTTGTAACTTCAAAATGACATCATATTTGTTTTGAAAAAAAATAAACAGGTTAGAATAATTTTGATAATGTATTTTGATAAAGAAGATATCCAGAACTGCAACAACTATAGAGGAATCAAGCTAATGTGTTATATAATGAAAGTGTGAGAGAGAGAGTGATAAAACGTCGATTGCAAGATATAATAGAGGTGCCAGAGAATCAATTTGAGTTTATGCCTAGTAGGTCAACAATGGAAGAGATTTATCGTTTAATGAGAGTAATAGAAAAGTATAGAGACAAACAAAATAGAAAAAGAAAAGAGACATTCATATGTTTTTATCGATCTTGAGAAAACATATGATAGAGTGTCTCGTGATATAATCTGGTGGTTGTCAGAGAACAAAGGGGTGACAAAAGGTTACATTGATGTGATTAGGAATATGTATGAATGTGTGGTAACAATAATTAGATCACCCACTGAAGAAACAAGTGAATTTCCAATTACTATAGGGTTACACTAATAATCAATTTTAAATCCTTATCTTTTTATTTTAGTTATGGATGAGTTGACAAGAAATATTAGATGATGTGCTATGGTGTATACTTTTTACAGATGATATCGTATTAGTGAATGAGACTAGAGAAGGAGTTAACACTAAGTTGGAGACTTAGAGAGAAATACTTGAATCTAAAGGATTTAGGATAAGTGGAACTAAGACAGAGTACATGGAATATAATTTTAGTAAAAGTAACGATGGAAGCAGAGGAAAAGTGAAGATTGAGAACTAAGAACAACCTAAGAGCGGACATTTTCATTATTTAAGATTGATTATCACAACGGCTGGGAAGATTGGAGCAGATGCAGTCCATAGAATTAAGACGTGGTGATTCAAGTGGAGGAGTGCAACTGGGGTACTGTGCAATAAACGAGTACCTACTAGATTAAAAGGGAAGTTTTATAGAAGGACTATTAGACCAGCAATGTTGTATGGGTCAGAATGTTGAGCAACTAAGAAATAACATGCAGATAAGATGAGCGTTATTGAGATGAGAATGCTGAGGTGAATATGTGGCAATATAAGAAAAGATAGAGTTATAAATGAATATATTCGAGAATATGTTGGAGTAGTATCGATAGAAGATAAGTTGAGAAGTAGTATCAATAGAAGATAAGTTGAGAGAGAATAGATTGAGATGATTTGGTTATATACAACGGAGAGTAACAGATATAGTAGTGAAGAGATGCAATACAGTGATAGTAGATAGAAGTGTTAAAGGAAGAGCCAGACCTATATTGACTTGGACTAGTGTAGTAAATAAAATATGAACCTCCTTAATTTTACTAACGAAATGGCCTTAAATAGAGTCGAGTGGAGAAAAAAGAATTCATGTAACCGACCTCATATAATGAGATTTAAGGTTTGGTTTGGTATTTTAAAACAATTAAGACTTGATCATAGGGTTACACATGTCTAATTAACTTGATTTTTTTATAGATGATATATTTGATGAACCTTATAGTATAAAAAGTTCAGATTAATGACATGAGCTCAGGACAAAACTTAATGAACCCTCACAACAGCGTATTGTGCTAGCACGCTTCCCATGTCCCTCCCTCTCCCTTTAGAAGAAAGTCTAATTA